TGTCTGCCTGATTGTAAACAACCGGGCGGCTGGCGCTTATTTCTGGTTTCTTATTGACAAAACCACTCAAATCTTGGTGGCTCTTAATGGAGGGTCAAATGTAACAAATTTTCACTGAGTGGCTCTTAATTGAGGGTGGCGCTTATTTGCGGATTTTTACGGTAATCACATTTCAATTAAACTTAGAAACATAGATTTTCTGTTACATTGCGCAGACCTCATTAGTTTTACACTCAAATCTGTTCATATTAATTTTCTGATTTGCATAATTAGTTTTCAGCTAAGTAATTTCGAATTATATTTAATGTGTCTCCAATACTCTCAGCACATGGGAGTTCTTTCTAAGCTTTCTTTGACTTTATAATAGCTTTGATGAATATATAGGTACTGGTACATGTGGACGACTCTCAGATTTGTTCATTTCCAGATGATATCTTTGATTTCTCTAATTTTGATGAATATTTTAATTTGTCATCTGAAAGTGATCTGAATGTTTGGCCTTACTACTATATTTGCAAGATTTACAGTACAGTTCTCGCGGAAGCTTTGGCTTCACTTCGGTATCAGCTTTGCTTCAGCATCGCATCATTATGGCACTGTTATGGCTTCAGCGTCGCTTCAATGTCGCGACATAAAAAGTTGAGGCGGTCATCGCTTCGCTTCATTGTGGCCTCATCGCTTCATCAAACAAAAAAGTACAGAACTCATTTCGCCCAACCTATCGCCCGCTTTCGCTTTTCAGTCGCTCGCTTTTGCGACCGCTTGTTGAATTTCTGCTTTATTTTCGACTGCAAAAATTCATACTACTGACAATTTTCTGGTTTTCATAGATCACAGTTACTAGTTTACGGTTACATAGATGTTGAACCGTCAAAAGTTCAAATACTTTTTGTTTTAACTATCTATAATTATATGCACGCAATCTGACCTTTTTACCTTGATTTGGCTGGGATTGACTATTTTATTTTAAACAACTTATTCTGACGTGACGCACTGCTACAAAATGTATTTCAACAGAAGTACAACATGGTTGTCTGGGTTTCTTTTCTTGACTGTGTTGAGTTTACGATATGTATAATTATTGTTATTTCCCCCAAGGAGAAGACAAGCCGAAGGACCATGAAGCTAAATAGAAGTCCCACGCATGGACTGAGTGAAAGAAAATATTTCTAAGGCTAAAATAAAACCTAATTAAGAGATATTATATCTCTTTGTGTATTTGTCAATTTTGCATATATTTAGTATGACAGTATGTTCGTAAATATCTGGAAAAATCTCGTCTTTAGTTAATAATTTTATTTGTTTGAAATGTCTACCGACCGTGTCCCAATAATTTGTTTGGAATATCCCCGTCCGTCATTCAACACAACCAGCATTTATTTATCATAATTCAAGGGGATCATGTCTCGTAATTTGTGGGCTGTAAAACCAAATAATTAAACAAGTACTACCGGGAGGTATTTATTATATCTATATTTTTGTTTTACCTCGCGAAACTACAACACGGCAGAGAGTTGTCGCGGTGAAACAGTCGCCTTGAAATCGATGGAACTTCAATTATCCATTTCTCACCTTGAAATAAAATTTTAAGAAATCGAAGAGCATCGGGGGGAATATTATTAACCAGTCTTACCAATCGCTAGCTTTATTTCATTCAAATCCATCAAATTCACGAGTTTTTCGACATTTGTTGGCAACTTCCGTGCTAAAAATGGTTGAAAGTGTGGGTGTGGTTCTCTCGCAAAGTCTCGTTGATAATACGGACAAATATGGTTCTGTGACCCAGGTTGTGTACTCCGATCAGGTGACTCTCGGCCAATCAATGATGTTGTAACAAAGCATATTTGATGCTAATTTAAGGGTCGTCGTACCATCCAATCTCCTGCGTCGATTCACATACTTAGTTTGTTTGTGCTGTGACAGGCTTCACAATTATTTACTAAAAAACATCGGTATTATTTTGACAAACGGCCGGGATTTGACCTCGGTTCAAAAAAAGAAAATAAAACTGGGCTGAGATACAAATCAGTATTGCAAGTTGGGAAATAAGGTAACCCAGATTGGGGTCGATGATATTCAGTATCTAATGCCTTCCGTGTGTATCATGAGTTTCAAATTGTTCATCGACTGGGCACTGGACACGTGTTTTTCTGAAGCCCAATAAATTATTTCTGCATGTCAAGTGCTATTCAATTTTTTACAGGGCATGTGGCTCGTTTTTATTCGTAAATATTTTTTGTGAGAATACATTTAAAGTACGTATAGGTCAAGCTTAGGTCACTGATTGTGACTTAATTTTGAAAGTGGATGTAAAATTTTACCAGACCGACTCCACCACAACCATCCAATCATAGTTAGAAATGTACGCACTTGTTTTGGAACTTTGTATCAAGATGGCAGGCGACAACGCCGACGCACCAGGCGGCGTACGTGTGTTTTGCATGTATTAGTAGTCCGGGCATGGGATCAGACTCTGCTAAAACTAAACGAAACACAGAAAAATACCACTGAAATAAGGAATCTGAATCTGTACTCTTACCAGCAAATAAA